GGATTGCAGAATGAAACTGCTAAGACAGAGAACTTACCTCTTTGTGTTTTCACTTTCCTCATCTCTAAGTAATTTCTATAAGGAAAGTTGAGTGTATTGGCTTAGAAAGCTGGTCTGAAAGCTAAAGATTTTTCTTGGCATTAACCTCAACATTCTATCTCTCAAAACTGGGTTTAAGGATACCTTATCCTCCTAACAATGGTCTTAAAGTCTATAGGTTAAGAAGAAGAAGAAAGAAACTTTCTCTAGCAGAAAACACATAGACAAAGTTTAGAAAAACCCACCTCTGCCCTTTGGTATTAAGGGAATGATGAGGGACTCCATTTCCTTCTATCATTATTATCCAATTGGTTATCCAACAAAGAATTATTGGACAAATCCACTATAATCCCAAACTACTTTGAGACTATGGAAATCAACCAAATCTCTCTGCTAATCTCTCACATGGCAGTTTGTACTTCTGTTTGTAGCATATACTATAATTAAGTATCCTAGGAGTGATATATTTGTTGTATGCTCACCTAACCAGCAGGTGGAAAGCTACATGAGGGTAGAAGCCATACCTGTCTCTTCACACCTTCATTCTCAACAGAACAGCAGCAATATACATAGCTTCAATGTGGTAATTACTAAATCATTTTTGAATAAATGAATAAACAGAAAAAGAATTTGATATATATTTTGAAAATTAGTCGCCAATGCCTTAACCTGACAAAAATTGGTAATTTCATGTAACAAGTCTTCTTAAGAAAATTGTTGACCAAGAATTAGAAATTCTAAAGCCCCAAAATGAATGTGGCTGGATGAAACACGATAATGCCTAATACCTGGGTTTCCTTTTTCCCATAATTCTTTCATTGCCCCACAGTCCTCCACTCATTGAATTAGCAAACACCAAAGAAGTCAGTAGGGGATATAAACAGGTGTTTTAAATTTTATAAAGGAGACAAGAGTCTTGAAAACAGAGTCTTTTCATTGCAAGAGCAAGGCTTTTTGAAAAAGAAAAAGAGCTTTGATCTTCAAAAAGCTAACAGACTGAGGAACTCAGAGCATGCGGTTACCCCTAAACCAGAAAGGAGAAGAGAATGCCTGATGAGGTGACAATAATTTTCTGACTCAAAAACAGATTGGTGTTTTTGAGAAGGAAGAGGGCCCAAGAAGAGTTTAGATGTTGGGGGATTTAGATGGCATGCCCCTTCCCTCTGGGCCAAGCCTAGAGACTTAGGGAGAGGCACTCCAAGCAGAGGCATAGGTAATCAGCAGTCTCATGGAGAATACACTTGTTCCACCATAGCCTTGCAACAGCCAAGCAGAAATGGCAATGAGACCTGTCTGCAGAGAGGACCCACCCTGCATCTTCCACAGTACTGGTGAGGCAGAAAGGGCAACTGAAGGTTCCTGTGCACACAGAAGAAAATTTACCATGAAGCTAAAGAAATTTAAGCTTCAGTGCCCTCATTTGCACGCCCCCTTACAAAGGCCCAGAAAGGATCCTAGCAGTGTACTCATATAGTCCCATATTTTTTTTAAAAACTTTCAACAGTAAGAGAAACTTTACCATCAATTGGTTAAGACCACTGTCTTCTTCCATTCCAACTTCTCTGACACACTTCCCCCCGTCAGATGACGTTGGAGTAGCTGTTGGCATATTTGGGATGCAGCTAAGAGGAAGTTGAGTTGAGAATACACTTATATTTGAGTTTAGTCAGATATATTTATATGGTTCCCAGTCATTTATGTGTCTAATTGTTTTTGCTAGCCATCCAAGTATACAAATGGGTGCCAAAAAATTCTCCTAGCATCCACTGTGCCAATACCCGGAGTCATGGCACAAAGTTGCAGAGCCAGAAGTTACAATCTGATATGAACATATCCTACAGCAACGAGAACCAGAGCGACATGGATAGTGGAGGAAAAGGGTTTTAAATGTGTGGAGACAGATGCTAGCCCATGGAAACTTCTTCTAGTCATGAGAAGTGTGAAATTATAAGTGAAGCATTTAGCTTCCATTGATGCCGAGTCAAAATGGAAGTTCTTCTCAGCCAGGAAATATACTCAGCAGTATAGTCAACCCAATAAAATCATAAGTGTGTGTTCTATTTCTTAAAGGTAGCTCCCCAGATTAAATTAGGTCTCTGCAAAAGCTGGATTCGCCCCTGCTACACTCAAAAGGAGCCAGGAGGTGCTGGGAGATGTTAGCGGCCCTGTGGAAGCACACAGTGAGCCACACTGAGAAACATACAGGCACACAAGAACACAGAGGGACCTGCATGACCGGAAATAATGCACCCTGAAGACTTTTCAGCAATAACTAAAGGAGGGACCAAATGCCTACTCCTGATGCTAGAACAATAACTAACCCCTTGGTACTCTGATCAATACTGAAGAAGAGGAGAAGACCTGGTTCTGAATTGAAGGAGTTTAAATACTCAGGTGCCCAATATCCTAAATTGACTAAGTGGACACGTAAGTAACTGATATTCAGGGCCCCAACATCAGTGGGAAAGCAGAACATCATATCTTAGCTCAATTTAGTTAGAGAAGAAGGTTAATCTTCACACACGTGAGTTTTGTGACTGTGAAATTAAGACCCCGTACATAAACCCAAGCGAAATTCTGCCAAAGTGGCTGAGTCAACTCAACCTACCATGTTGCTGATGGCAATGGTAAACTTTGCTCGAGTCCTGGGCTCCCAGAAAATAGCAGTGATTAAGAAATCCCCTACCCTTTTGGGTTTCAGGGAAATAAATCTAATCGCAGCGTACCTCCTTTCTCTTCCAAATTCAAGATTAGACATATCTCTATCCTTTCTCATGATTCCCATAAGACTCATGGATGACTTCCTTGTTTACTTGTCTCCACAAAGTCCCCTGCTCCCTGCATTTTTTTTTTCCTGAGAGACATTCCTCATTAATGAAATACTCTCGGTTGCAACAGCCTGAACAAAACCATCTCCTTCATTACTCTGTGCCTCAGGTCTTTGACACTGGCATGTTCTCACCAAATGGTAACCCAGAAGCTAGTTGTATTTGGAATCACAAACCCAAGATTCTCAAGCATAGAGAAGTGGGGCCTATGAAGGATCAGCACATACCTTCAGTGGAGAGGACTCTCTGGAAGTTAAAAAATAAAATAAAATTTCAGACTTCCAAATGATACTAGTTTTTTTAGTACCTAGAAATTGAGAAAATAATGACCAATTACCCTCAATTAAAAATGCTTTACAAAACATTTTATTTTATTAATTCCTAGGGAGATAGACATACATTTGATAAATTCAAACATATATCCAGGTCAAAATCATTTTTTCTGTTCAGGATCCATGACTTCACACATTTTTTAAGTATCTCTATGATCGTCAGAGATATGTGGGCCACAAGTTGGGAACAACTGACTCAGATATTTTCAGGTGAAAATGAAAACATGAGAACAGAGGGGTTGATTTGGTTGGGGTGGGCAGAATGTCAGAGGACCTGGCACCATCCTTTGGAAACCTGTTGGCCAGGCAACCTCGTGAAACACAGATGTTGATCCCCCTTTGTTAGTCGACCCCCAACCCTGGAGCTGGGAAGATGCAAAACCAGTCACATCTTCCAGGCTCTCCTTATCTGGACCCACAGGGAGGCATTGCCCTCAATCCCCCTCAGGCCTTCTCTCTTGTCCTCTCCACAACACACACGCATGCATGCACACGCACACACACACACACACACACACCCTTCATCTCTGACTCCACACTCAGGCCCCTGCTCCCTGGTAACCTTAATCCTTTTAGAGGAAGGCAAAGAAAACTCTCTTTTTGGACAAGCTCAGAGACCCACCTGAGACAGAGAAAGAAAGAGAGCCAAGCCAGGGGCACATCAGGGTTGCACTCTGCTTCCTTGGTTTCACCCCTTCCTTTCCAAGCTGGAGTCCAGCCCCAGCGTTGAAAATGCCAACAGAAAAGGAATATCTGAATTTTTGAGAACACAGACAACATATTTGTAGATATTTCCAAATGATTTTAAGGCATGCCTGGCGAGCCCCTTTACAAATGTTAGGAGGGGAATCGTATATTGGTCATATTTGTATACAATAGGAAATGTCCTTTGAAAAACCACACTGACAGGAGATTTTATAGTCTCCTATAGAAATTTAATGAATATTGAATTTAATATCCCATCAAAGTATTAAAAACTAGCTTCTATGCTGTTTGAAATACATGACCAATCCTCGTGTAATGTTGGTGGCACACAACATTCCAACATGGTACTGTTCGTTATCTTTTTGTATAACACCATTCCATTCCCATCTAGGATTTTATTCTAGATCCAAGGAGTTAAGACATTGTATAATTTCCAAAAACTCTACAAACATACATTATTCTTTTTTTTTTTAATGTTTAATGTTTATTTATTTCAGAGAGAGAGTCAGAGCGTGAGCAGATGAGGGGCAGAGAGAGAGGGAGACACAGAATCCGAAGCAGGCTCTAGGCTCAGAGCCCCAAGCGCGGCTCGAACCCACTAACCATGAGATCATGACCTGAGCCGAAGTCCAGCCTCAATGGACTAAGCCACCCAGGCACTCCCGAACTTACATTATTCTTAACCCTCAAAATGCATTTCTCATAGGGCAGGTGGGATGTTTAGACTTTGGATTTTGAAGCAACTCTGACAATTTTATATCGCGATGTCTGAATTTAATTTCCTTCCGCAAGATCAAAGTGTACATTATTGTGATCAGTGTGGAAAGAACCGAATGCAGTGAGATGAAAACATCCTAAGTGCGTATTGGTGATTTATGTTCGATACAGAAACGAATTGTGGTTTTATGGATGGAAATTATTTTCCCTTCTGTTTAATATGTAGGCCATGTCTCCTCTGGCTTCATAGCCGGTTATCTTTCTCCTCCTACTTCACACTTTCCAGAAGCCTTCTGGTTTCACAGCGGACACATTGTAAATCTTCCCCTTCTAAGTGTCCCACATATGTTTCATTAAAAGTGTTTGTTTCTTTGATCAGCTTGACGTTTCTAATGTGAAAAAAATAATAACTCCGTCGCCTGGTGCTTGGAAATGTATAGGCTGGAAGTGAGGAGCAGAAGACGACGGTAAGCATCAGGGGTCTCCGGGTCCACCACTCAGGCTCTGCCAGGGTTTGGGCTGTGCCCGCATCTGCCAGGCTAGCATGGGTGGGAGAGATAGGAAACAATGCATCTTGGTCTGCTAAGGCTGCCATAACAAAGTACTACACACCCAGAGGCTTAAAACAACCCAGAAATCTTTTGTCTCACTGTTATGGAGACTGGAAGTCTGAAATCAAGGGATCCACAAGATTGGTATCTTGTATCTTCTGAGGCCTCTCTTTCCTTGGCTGGGAGATGAGCATCTTCTCTCCTGTGCACTCAAGTGGTCTCTCCTCTGGACACGTGTGAGTCTGCATCCCAATTTCCCTTTCTTACAAGGACACCATTCCTATTGGATTAGGACCCGGTCTAATGACCTCATTTTAATGTAATCACCTCCTTTAAGTCCCCATCTCCAAAAACAGTCACATTCTGAAGGCCTCAGGGTTAGGCTTTCAACCTATAAATTTGGAGGGGACACCACTCAGCTCAGAACACCTGATATTTGTTATACTTTGGAAAAGTGCATGAGGCGGGGGGGGGGGGGGCACGGGGAGCCAAGCAGAGGCAGCCGCCATGGATTCCCTATCAAACTAGAGTGGGCTTTTTTATTTTTTAAAGACTATTTCTTAAAGCAGTTTTAGGTTAACAGCAAACTGGAGAGAAATGTAGAACAATTTCTCATATACTCGTTACCCCCACACACGCATATCCTGCCCCATGGCAACATCTCCCCACCAGAGTGGTACGTTTGTTACAGGGGATGAATCTACAGTGACATGAAATAATCACCCCAAGTCCAATGCTCACCTTAGGGCTCATCTTTGATGTTGTTCATTCTGTGGGTTTAGACAAATGTATAATAAGATGTATATTAATGTGGCCTCATACAGAGTATCTTCACAGCCCCGACAGAGTGGACTTCCGGGGACGTCAGACCACTCACAGAGTGTGGGTGCCAACACTTCAGCAAACAAATTAAGCCATCGCAGCAAAGGGAAGGCAAGCTCTGAATCATGGATGAAGGTCTATTTGGATCTCCTTGCCCTCTGCGGCAGCCCCCATTTCCCAGCAGGGGGGCATGGCACAGTGCATGATGGGTCTGATCATTCCCCGCCCCACCCCCCTCCTCCTCCACCTCCTCCATGTCATCATTGTCAGCGCTAATCTCAGAATAATCTCCCAGGAGCCAACATGTACTTGTAGTCCTTGTCCCCAGGGGTCCAAATGACTAAACTTCCATTATAGCTCCAGAAGCATACATAATCTTTACTACACAAAAGGGCATGCCATTAAAGTCCTCTGCCCCTAGGGAATTGATTAGTGTGCCACCCATCCCACCTCCAATGTGACTTTCTTCAGAGGGTCATGAGAACGCGTCCACGTCAGGACTCCCGAACTCCAATCTGAGTCTTGTAATACTCCTACCAATTAGCATATGGAGTCCTCCCTCTTGGTTACAATTTTGAAATTGCTGGCTAGACTCCTACGGCCACACATAAATTGGCTTACTTCTGGAGGCTATTTCACATGTGGGGTTGGCTTTTATTTGTTTGGATTAAACCATTAGATTTTTCAAGTCTATGTAGAGTACTGTTTCTGAATTTGATTCTTCTTTCTTCTTCTATCTCTAAAGTATATTCTCAAGGCACCTGGGTGGCTCAGTCGGTTAAGCATCCAATGTTTGATTTCATCTCAGGTTATGATCTCACATTCTTGAGATCGAGCCCCACATCAGGCTCTTCACTGACAGTATGGAGCCTGCTTGGGATTCTCCATCTCTCCCTCCCTCTGTCTGCCCCTTCCCTACTTGCTCTCTCTCTCTCTCTCTCTCTCTCTCTCAAAATAATTAAATAAACATTTTTAAAAAATAACTAAAGTACATTATCTCTTTACTTTGTAGCTTGAAAGTATACTCAAGGACTTAGGAAAACAAACGTTACCACTACCCACAGAAAATGCTGGTGCTCACCTCAGTTGGGGAAGGAAGAACATTAAAGAAGAAATGGCATTTTTATTAGAACATCACAGCTCCTAGTCACAACCTTGTCATCTTATATTCCATAGTATATATGCTGTTGCCCTCATCTTTTCTGACATTAGTGGAAACCATTTAGGGGGTAGGAAATGAGAGATAAAGAGCTACCTACCTTTCTTGATATTTTACAATTCCACAGCTCTAGCCATGCAACAATGTCCAATAAAAACACACCTTAAACACAGTTATCATAACTGATAACATTACTAATCCAATCCTTTCCTCGTTAACTTAAATCATTGCAAACAAAGAGACAATTTTTTTCTTTATTATAAGATACCTTATATATGCAACCAGATGGGCAGCTCCTGTGACTCATAGTCTAGCCAGAAGTACATAAAATAGAAAAGGGATGATTTCCCAAAGGGAGGGATGCTGTGCAGACAAAAACTCCATCATCCCAGCATGGGGGTGGGGGGTAGATGATGTGGAAGGAAGTATAAAGCCAAACAGTATGTGATTGATTTTCCTAAAAGTTCTATAAATAGGAAAGAAAACTTGATTTACGGAGCAGTGCGTTCCAGTCCAGACGTTACTACTAATTGGTTATAAAATCTTAACAATCCTCTTCTTCTCTAAGCTAGTTTCTTTATCTGGAACCGGAGGACATTAAACTACATCATTTCCAGGCAACTCATAGGTCTCAGATGAACTCTTTACATTACTCAAAGGTAGGAGAGTTAACTCTAATATCAACCAGCAGTGTGAACAGGAGAAAATCAATTAGCCTCTCTAAACCCTGTAAATCAGGAATGATAATGTCTTTAGTCACAAAATGAAATTGCTGGGGCATCTGGGTGACTCAGCCAGTTGAGTGTCCAACTCTTGATTTCCACTCAGGTCACGATCTCATGGTTTGTCAGATCAAGTCCCACATCAGGCTCTATGCTGACAGTGCAGAGCCTGCTTGGGATTCTCTCTCTCCCTCTCTCTGATCTTCCTGCACTCTCTCTCTCTCTCTCTGCCCCAACCCTGCTTGCATGCAGTCACTCTCTCTCTCTCTCTCTCTCTCTCTCAAAATAAATAAATAAATAAATAAATAAATAAATAAATAAATATTTAAAAACAAAGTGAAATTACATGTGCAAAATCGTGTGAAAAATAAAGAATATCAATAGCTATTATTTTTGAGCACCTACTATTATTAAGTATTGTACTACATATTTTCTTGTGGCTGTATCACACTTCTCTACTGTTATCCAATATTATCTAATGAAGACCCATCCTTTACTTCTTTCTTCTTTAACTCAAGTTACTCCTCAGTTTATTCTAATGTCTAAATAGATCAAGAAAATGGGATGTTTACACATGAGTAGTCAGAGAAATTTAATGGATTTCACCCTCAAGAAAATACTGAAAGAGAGGGCAGTGAAATAGGAACTAAAAAAATCATTAAAAATAAAAAAGGAGATGACAAGAAATTAAAATGAACACAGGTGAGGCAAGGATGATTATTTAAAAAATGCAATGGCAAAATTAAAATATGTCCTAGAACCAATACAGAGAAGGTTTTAAAATTCAGAAAATCAGGTGAATAATGTAGAAGACATACCTGATACACTCGCCCAGAATTCAGAGAAAAATTACATAAAGATGAGAATTAGGAGGAAAACAATAGGTTTGACCTTGGTTCTCAGTCTTTTAGAGCTAAAAATCTTTGTAAAAAGGGCTATAACTGCTGAATATGAAGAAATAAATGAAGACAGGGTTATAGAATGTTCTGAACCCAAGAAAAGACAAATATTAAAAGGAGTCACTATGTTACAAGTAAAATCATTAATAGGGAAGCATATTTAGACTCATAGTCATACTTTTTTAATTACAAGAATTTTTTAAAGCATTCTATCAAAATCTAGATCCAAAAAAATTAACTAGAAAAAAAATCACCAAAAATCAGAGTAGGCTTGTTAATTTGTTTGTAACACTAAATGCAAGAAGGTAATGGAGCAACATCCAGGGAGTTTTGAGGTTGAAAGTTGCTGAACATGAATTTTTATACCCAGCCAAGTTATAGATTTAATATAATAGGAACCTAAAGACAGTGTCAGATATGTCCAAGCTAAGGAAAATATAACCTCTACCTTCCTTTGAGGAAAGACACCCTACAACCAACCAACTGAACAAGTTTTAAAAACTGAAAACTAATGATATAAAAGAACAGGCTTCTTGCTTCTAATCATCACAGACTGCTATACCTAATCCAGATGAAGCCATATGGTAGAATGTAGCATTGTCAGACTGGTCCTCTGAATTCTGGGGGCCAAGAAGTGACTGATAGGTACCAAGAAGATGAGTGCAGCCTGTACTAAAGAATTCTGGGTCCTTTTCAACCACAGTAGGTCCACATTCATCTCGTTTTTATATTATGATTCTGCAAAATTTGGTTTAAAAAAAAAAAAGCTTTAGCTGCTTTGTTTTTTTTAAAAAAAAAAAAAAAAAAAAGATTAAAACCCATCTGAATAGTAGAAAGACCAGACATAGAAAAATCTGGGTTTGAACCACAGCTCCATCACCTACTAACTATGGGATGTTGGGGAAACCATTAACCTCTCTGACCTTTAGGGTCTTCTGTTACAAATTCATACCATCTACCTTTTGTTAAATGTTTATTTATTTTGAGAGATGGGGAGAGGCAGAGAGAGAGAAACAAACAGACAGAATCCCAAGCAGGGTGCTGCTGTCAATGAAGAGCCCAACACAGGGTCAATTCCACAAACCATGAGATCATGACCTGAGCCAAAATCAAGAGCGGGGCACTTAACTGACTGAACCACCCACGCACCCTGATACCATCTACCTTACAGATTCTTGTCAGGATAAACTTGAGATGAGATGAGAAAGAAATTTTTCATGTGCTATTATTAATCAATTGGAGATTTGCAAATTTCTAGTAAAAACTACATAATAACTTGCTTTCTTTGTTTAGAGTATGGGTTCACTGAATGTTGTGTGTTCAAGCTCATGCCACAAGCAAGGGTTCAGTAGGTGAGGCAGCTTGTCACATGAGCTGCGCTTCCAGACCACTTTAACCTTGAAATATTGTGACTGTTGCTTGGCAAAAACAGAGGAAACCGCTTGTGGCCCATGGGCTCCAGACACTCAAGCTTCACCCAGATAGATACCCAGAAGGACTAAAACGTAAATATCTCAGCCCACTTGTAACCCACTCATGACCCACCAGTAGGAAATTTCTGAGGTAAAGATTCTCATTTCTGTCTCTTAAGGTAATATCTTTAGCTACACTACAAGCATCTCTTAGGAAGCTACAACTCTTTTGAATTGCTCGTAAATTCTTCCAGAATCTAGACTTTCCAAAATTAATTTCTTCTCACCAACTTAAACTTTTCAAGCACATCATCTTTCTATACCTTCACCCAAATCTACATGTCCCCCATACAGGTTATGCTGTGTTTCACAGGTTGGTACCACTGTTTCCCCTATATCTGTGGGTATCCCCAGCTCAACTTCAATATCTCTGAGGAAAATGACATTTTTCAAGAGTTTATACTTACATGGAAAATACTGGTGTCAAAAATCTGGGGGAAGGTTGAGGAAGGGGCCAAGATGGCAGAACAGCATGGATGTTTTTTTGTGTCTTGTATCCATGAATACAACCAGATAAACACTAAACAATCCTGCACACCTAGAAAACTGATTTGAAGATTAACACAACAATCTCCACAACCTGAACCATAGAACTCAGCAGGTACGTGGCACAGAGGGGTGTACTGGGGGAGAGAGAAGCCATGGAGGGCAGGGAGCAGTTTTTGCCTGCAGAGAGAGGACAGAGATGGGGGGAGAGTACAGGAAAACCACCCTCCCCCCAAAAGCAGCTGAAGAGAAAGTGGAAACAGCCTCAGAAACTGAACACAAAAAAGGGAGAAAGGAGGTTTAAATTCCATTAAGACTCTATAAACAGGGGGAGCACAGAGCCTGAAACTCCACAGTTCCATACCCAGCAGTGTTCTGGTGGGAAGGGCAAATCCCCAGTAGCAGAGAATGAGGTCTGGGGGCCACACGAAGAGAGGCACTTTCCCTGTTGGGAGGACATTTGGTAGAGTCTGTACCAAATGGTCCACAGCCAAAGGTCCCAGCAGACCCTGGAGAACAACCACATTTGCTGGTGCTGGAACAAGGACATCAAGGGTGAAGCCTGGTGCCAGAGGTGTGTTGTGATATTCCACAATCCTTGAAACGCTGCTGCTACATGATCACGTGACCTTTTTCTGGGGTGGGCGGGCACTCAGCCACAGTCACTGGGCATCGGCAGCAGCATGGTCATGCCAACGTTCCTAGGTGGGGCTGGCACCTGGCCATTGCTCTGGGAGACCCTCCCCCAGAAGGTCTGAGTGGGTCAAAGCCACAGTCCCTCAGAAGTGAGGGTTGGGAAACACAAACACATCTGAGATAAAATCCAGGTGGGAGATGCCGCCTGGCAACCCCATGGCTTGGTCACAGACAGTGTAAAAGTGGGGAGGGGACAAAAACTGGAGACAAGGGACAGGTGCATTATTGCTGATTGGGGAGAACAGAGTTCCAATACTAGAGACTGGGTAGT